CACCTTCCATCTTGCACAGTTGTATAGGCTCACATCCTGTACTGCTTACTCTGTTTTCACTGTACACTGCAAGGTTTTCAGTATGTACATTAGAAGCTGTAGGAATTCATGTAGAGCCTGCCTCATTTCCTGGCTGTAAGGCACAGTTCAGTATCCTCTAGCTCTTTCTTCCCAATCCTTACTGTCCTTGCCCAACCCTATTATTCATTGGATTTCAGTTCTTCCAGTCCTATACGTTTAGCATTACATGTGGACATTACCACAATGTTCTGTTTTCCTGCCAGCATCTCCCACCAATCATGATCTGGCTACAGTGCATAGAGAAGAACAAAGACCTACATACTTTATTTTACACCTGAGTCTGAGTTAACATTAACAAGTATAATCTAAACAGGTTTTAGTTAATAATTTCATGGGCACGTTGATAGATTAGGGAAGAACAAGAAAGGCAAAATATGAGCTTATTAAAACTTGTTACATTTCAGTTCTAAAGTGTATATTAAACAAAAAAAAAATCATTTGGCCATGAGATTTTTTTTATAGATTTTTTTAAAATATTTTTTTAATAAAGTATATTTTTATTTTTGTGGAGGTCCTTCCTTATACTTGGACTGGCCCTTAAAATTATAATATCGTGTCTTTCTGGATAGATATATATATATATATATATATATATATATATATATATATATATATATATATATATATATATATATATGTGTATATATATATATATATTGTGATTTGGCTTACAATCCTATGTTTTTCCATGTTCCTATATTTAGTTTGTTTTGTATCATTTTAATTCTATAGATACTCTCTTTGCCTTCTGATGTCTGCAATATGATACTTTGTATTATAAACACGGCGATCTGTCATGTGTGAGTCTTGCTTTGTCGCTTGATTCCGGATTGATGACAGCTGGCCGTTTTCACATGCATTGCATATTTAATGAGGTTGAGACGTCTCACATCGATCCGCTACGTGAGGACGTCTGACGAAACGCGTAGGGAGGGGTTGATTGATGTGACGTCGTTACATTTTCCCAGTGGTCTACGGCGCATGTGCGGAGTAGCTGGGTTCGTCTATTGTGTCTAACATGCTTTTGTTGCTGGTGTCGGCTAGGACACCTTTTGCTGTAAGTTCGATGTGTGCATATTAAATTAATCTATTTTAAAAGGTACTGCACTATGAGTTATTGTTTTTTTCCTGAGTGCCTGGTCCAATACCCTGTGGATTTTCCTTGTGATACACCGACTGCAGAGTATTGCTCCCTGGAATCGAATTATTAGCCAGATAGTGTGTGCTGCAGAGTATTGCTCCCTGAAGATCAAGTCTTTCAAAGCCAATTATCGTTTCATCAGCTTGCTGACCATCGCTCCTAGAGCAAAAGCGCTTTATGCTGATTTATAATATTATCAGCATCTAGCTCTGGTGAGTTACTTTAGTATTTTCTGGTGGTGGATTGTCACGGGTTTTTTTTAAATAATGTAATAATTCTTTTCACTTATACATGCATTGTTTTCATTTTTACATATATTTTTTTCACTTTATTTGGACTTTTTTTTTTTATTTGGACTTTACTTGACATTTATTTTGTTTGGGACATTTATTCACATATATGTGTATTTATATATAACTTTTTTACTAGCGCACAAATTATTTTGTTTTTTGTTTATACACCTATTATTATAGGGCGCAGTTTGCAGATGGTAAAAGAGTAATTGGCCATTGGCCATTGAGATTAGATTTCTTCTGTGGCGCCATTTATATTGTTTTATTATATATCTAAAGTATATTTCCCTAAATATTTGTTTTCTATGTGTGGTCACTTGTGTATTTTATGAATCATCGTCCTTATCATTTTCATGTATTTCTTCCATCTTAACTACCTGGTTGATCATGCCAGTCACCTTTATTCCTTATCCTAAACTGACCACACAAAACAAACTGATCTGTGTTCATGTAATCAGTTTTCATCCTTTCGCTGGCCATTTAGAGCTACAGGAACACAGCATGCCTCTATTGGGTAGTTTGTTCAGCCACCCCTGATCATTCACAGCCTGCTTTTGGCACACAGCCCCTCCCAATCACAGCCTGCCTCTTGAACATGTTCCGTGCTCAAGAACATCTTGCTCTTGCGTTCTGACTATGGAATACACTATGTATCTGCACAGTGTCTTGTAAGTCTTCCCCCCCACTATCTGAAAGAAGAGGTGCACAGTTACACAACAGAAATGTTTAACCTTGTAAAAAAGGTAAGAAAGCTAATTTCTGAAACTAAGCAAATCAGGGTAACTGCATAGTTATATCTGTATTAGAAAAGGTGTATAACATTGTATGTTCACAACTATATTAACTGCAGGGATTGCATGGTAGCAGGGTGAAGCACAACCACCTGGTACTCAGATTGGTGTTACAGGGACACAGTGGTCACAAGAGTGGGTGCGCACAAAGCACAGTTTTGAGAGGATGTGCCCATACTTCCTCCCAGAACTGTGCTTTGTGCGCACCCACTCTTGTGATCACTGTGTCCACCGGACACAGAGTATGACCGATCTGAGTACCAGGCTGCTGTGCTCTGCCCTGCTACTATGTGATCTCTGTGACCCATAACAGTGATTATATGTCCAGTAGTAAACATGGCTGTCATTCATACATCCATTGAGAACTACTGTGATCCCTGTGATAGTTCACAGTGAACTCTGGGCCAGTCACATCATCCCTGTACCATGTGATTTCTGTGGCCAATTAATAGCTCCCAATGGCTTTATGAATGCAGCTGAAAACTGTGTGAAATGATTGCTTATATGGCTGAATGGGCAGGCTGTATAAGCAATCCTAGTACGCAAAAAAAAAAAAAAAAAAACCTGATCACCTCCCTAGAGTAGTGCAGTGTCAACTAATCTAACAATGCAGTGCTCTGGTAACAAGATGTAAATGAAAAAAATTGTGTTTTAAAAAAAAAAAAAAAAAAAAAATTTTAACAATGTCACCAGGCCAGTGTTGCCACTCGGTGTCTCTGGTCACCGCCACACCAGCCATATTGTCCCTGATCACCGCCACACCAGTTGCAGTATAAGCCAGCAACGGTGTCCCTGATTTTTCGCCACACCAATCTCAGTGTATGTCAGCAGCAGTGTTCCTGATTGCTGCCACACTAAACCCCAATGACTCCTGACCAGTGTAGCCAGCAGCAATGTTCCTAATTACTGCCACTCCAGAACAGTGTTACCTTTGGCTGCTGCCTGTATTGACCGTGGCCTGTTTATTGATTACATGCCTGCTGCCTGAAATGATCCTTTGCCTGTTTGCTGACCATGTCTCTGTCTGTGGCCTGAACTGATCCATCTGCGCATCTGACTATGTTCCTTCAAGATTTCCCAGCCATCCCCCATAGACATCTGCACTCCTGGAATCACAGGAACTCTTCTGTTCTTTTCTTAAGCTTCCAGTACTTCCTGGCCTGTGAATAGAGCATTCCTGGGGACAGTCATGTACCAGTAGGCTAGGCTTCCTTGGCTTACGGGAATGGAGACTGCTATAGGTGATGCTACCCTAAGCTATATTCCTTGAAAACTTGTAGAGAGGTGACAATTACTTTACAATTGCTTTTGATACAATTGGTTCATTTGTGTGATACACAAGATACAATATTCGGCATATAATCCATTCAAAAAGTGAAAAATCTCACTTATGTGGTATTTCCACATAGTTGGGAGGAGTTCAGAATGTATTTTGGGGTGTAATTCGAAAATGTATGCCTGTGTTGTGTGTGGGAAATATCTTATTAAATTGATAACTTAGAGAAAATTATTTTTTTTTTATTTTTTTTTTTTTTTACACAGTCTGCATTTTCCAAAAACCTGTGGCAAAACAATGAAGTCTTCAAAAGACTTACCATGCCTCTTAAGAAAAATACCTTGGGATGTTTGCTTTACAAAATGTGGTCATTTTATGGTTATTTTTTACCGTCCTGGTTCTCCAGGACCTCCAAAAATGTGAGAGGTAGTCAGGAAATTATATGCGTAATTTATGTCCCTAGTATGCCTAAAAGTGCCTCTCTGTGGCTAGGCTGTGAAAAAGGCTAGGCATGTGGTATCACCATGCTCAGAAAGAGTAGAATGTGTTCTGGGGTGTAACTCTAAATATACCTATGCTGTGTGTTACAAGTATATTGATGAGAACTTTAAAAATAAATACATTTTCATTTTTTTTCCTGCATTTTCCAAAAACCAAATACGATTTCTGTCAAGGGAAGTAATAGACTTCGTTCCCTTAGTGTGAGTCCAGGGGCTTCCATTACAGGAGCCACATGGGAGGGTGCTCCATGGGGAGCAACGCATCACACAAAAATATACAATGTTATTTCTTCTCCTTAATGAATTGGTGCATTAGTTTTGATGCTGGACATAGAAGTGCATTTATTATTTTTGGTTGCAGGAACCTGTAAAGCATTGCACCAGCGATCAGCAGATCGCTGGTGCCATGCAGGTCTCCTGAAGACTTGTCAGTATATCTACATATTCCCATGCGGGATGTAGGGGCAAGCAGATATACTGACAGGACGATTTGATGAACTACCATGGTGCTCCACTGGGTCGTGGCAGTTCATTGAGAACTACAAGCCGACAGCTGCTAAGGATGTCAGGACTTGTAGTTCATTCATTTACAGAACACTGAATGAATTACGTGGACGGAGCCCACGCGGCTTCACTGTTTTTAAAAAGTGACAGCTAGTACGAGCTGGGGATCGGGCAGCAGATGTATACCTGGGAACATGTTACATGTTCTACTCTAAAAACAGGTGGAACGTTTAACCAAAGGTGAACTTGTCTTTTAGCTTTGTCCATTGGAAGCTTTGCTTTTCTATGTGAAATTTTCTAATAGTGCTGTGAAAGTAATGCAATCTTTTGGTTCCTCCTGGTATAACCACTAATCCTTTCCTATAATTTTATATATGCACCTCACTAAAGGAATGCTATTTTAATATATATATTTGTACTTTTGTGCTTTATAGATTGAGATAAAAATGAAGAAGACAGAAGCTATTCGATGGGATAAACTAGAGGGTCAAGCAGATTATTATGCAAAACATTTTACACCAGGTATGTGCAATATTTCCACACAGTGTTTTAAAGTGATACTAAGGCATGTATATCCTTCATATAATGTAGGACACGTCAATAGTGAATTATATTGCACTTATAGTAGGCAATCTTCAGCTACTGTTTTGCCTAGGCCTGCTTTTGTTTGGTTGTATTGGACCCATCATATCAGTAAAGACATTCACTATAGCTAATAGCATGCCCTGTTCCTAGACCCAGGCCTCCTGAATACACAGGGCATCCAGAAAGTATTCATAATGGTTAACTTTTGCCACATTTTGTTATGTTGCAGCCTTATTCCAAAATGAATTGAATTAATTTTTTTTCCTCAACATTCTACAAACAATACCCCATAATGACAACGTTTAAGAAGTTCGCTTTGAAATCTTTGCAATTTATTAAAAAAAACAAAACAAAAAAAACAATGTACATAAGAATTCACAGCCTTTCCTCCGTACTTTGTTGAAGCACCTTTAGCACCAATTACAGCCTCTAGTCGTTTTGAGTATGATGCTACAAGATTGGCACACCTATTTTTAGGCAGTTTCTACCATTCTTCTTTGCATTACCTCTCAAGCTTCATCAGGTTGGATGGGGAGCGTCAGTGCACAACTATTTTCAGATCTCTCAAGAGATGTTCAATCAGGTTCAAGGCTGGGCCACTCCAGGACATTCACAGAGTTGGCCCATAGCCACTCCTTTGTTATGTGGGCTGTGTGCTTAGGGTCATTGTCCTGTTGAAAGATGAACCATCGCCTCAGTCTAAGGTCCAGAGTACTTTGTTCCTGACTAGTCTCTTCGTTCCTACCACTGAAAAACACCCCCACAGCATGATGCTGCCACTACCATGCTTCACTTAGGAATGGTATTGGCCAGGTGGTGAGTGGTGCCTGATTTCCTCCAGACATGACGCTTGGCATTCAGGCCAAAGAGTTCAATCTTTGTTTCATCAGACCAGAGAGTTTTGTTTCTCATGGTCTGAGAGTCCCTCAGGTGCCTTTTGGCAAATCCCAGGCGGGCTTCCATTTGCCTTTTACTGGGGGGTGGCTTCCGTCTATCCACTCTACCATACAAGCCTGATTGGTGGAGTGCTGCAGAGATGGTTGTTCTTCTGGAAGGTTCTCCTCTCTCCACAGAGAAATGCTGGAGCTCTTTCAGAGTGACCATCGGGTGCTTGGTTACCTCCCTGGCTAAGGCTCGTCTCCCTCGATCGCTCATTTTGGCTGAGCGGTCCGCTCTAGGAAGATTCCTGGTGGTTCCAAACTTCTTCGGATGATGGAGGCCACTGCTCATTGGGACCTTTAATACTGCAGAAATTTTTCTGTACCCTTTCCTAGATCTGTGCCTTGATACAATCCTGTCTCAGAGGTCTACGGGCAATTCCTTGGATTTCATGGCTTGGTTTGTGCTCTGACATGCACTGTTAACTGGTACCTTATATAGACAGGTTTATGCCTTTCCTAACTGAATTCCCATAGGTGGATTCCAATCAAGTTGTGGAAAGATCTCAAGGATAATCAGTGGGAACAGTGGGATGCAGCAGAGCTCAATTTTGAGTGTCAAGTCAAAGGCTGTGAATACTTGTGTACATGTTTGGTTTTTTTTTTTTTTTAATAAATTGCAAAGATTTTAAAACTAACTTCTTTCATGTTGTCATTATGGGGTATTGTTTGTAGAATGTTAAGGGAAAAATTGAATTCAATCCATTTTGGAATAAGGCTGTAACATAACAAAGTGTGGCAAAAATTAAGCGCTGTGAATACTTTCTGGATGCAATGCAATCTAGTATCAGGAGCAGGAGTGTAATTATATGACTAAAGTACTTTGCTTATATTTTTTTTTGTCACAGGGCAGGGGTCTGTCTATTATACACTCTGAGCCAGCATTTTTTTTTGGGGGGAGGAGGGGTTTTTTTTGTTTGTTTTTTTTCTTGCGCTGACAGGTTATTCAAGTGGTGAAACGGTCCAGTTTTTATTTAGCGTGGCAGCTCAAAGTCTGTTCTTCTATTGCTGCCTTTTATCTTTTAATGAAAAGAGAAGTTATCCTTTAGCGATATACTGTATTGGTTCACTGCTCCAAATCATTGAATTCAGGTGTTCTAATCACCTCTATGGCCACAGGTGTATAAAATCAAGCACCTAGGCATGCAGACTGCCTAGACTTTCACAAACACTTGTGAAAGAATGAGTCGCTCTCAGTGAATTCAAGCGTGGTACCGTGATAGGTTGCCACCTGTGTAATAAGTCCATCCATTAAATTTCCTTGCTACTAAATATTCCACTGTCAACTGTTAGTGGTATTATAACAAAGTGGAAGCAACCGGGAACAACAGCAACTCAGCCATGTAGTGATAGTCCATGTAAAATGACAGTGGTGTCAGTGCATGCTGAAGCGTAAAGTGCGCAGAATTTGCCAATTGTCTGCAGAGTCAATAGCTAGAGACCTCCAAACTTCATGTCACCTTTGGATTAGCACAACAGTGCACAGAGAGTTTTATGGAATGTGTTTCAATGGCCGAGCAGCTGCATTCAAGCCTTACACCACCAAGTGCAATGCAAAGTGTCGAATGCAGTGGTGTAAAGCACGCCACCACTGGACTCTAGAGCAGTGGTGATGTGTTCTCTGGAGTAACAAATCACACTTCTCTGTCTGGCAATCTGATGGACATGTCTGGGTTTAGTGGTTGCCAGGAGAATGGTACATGCCTGACTGCATTGTGCCAAGTGTAATGTTTGGTGTAGGGGAGATTATGGTGTGGGATTGTTTTTCAGGAGTTAGGCTTGGCCCCTTAGTTCCAGTGAAGGGATCTCTTACGGCATCAGCATACCAAGACATTTTGGACAATTTCATGCTCCCAACTTTGTGGGAACCGTTTGGGGATGGCCCTTTCCTGTTCCAACATGACTGCACAACAGTGCTCGAAGCAAGGTCCATGAAAACATGGATGTATAGCAGGCAGCAGGGTTCATTCTTGGTCTTAACTAAACACTGTGCATTAGTGTAAATAGTCCCTGTGAAAGATGACAGTGCTACAGAATATAGAGGGGGAGGAGATCACTGCTGGCTGTAACTCCCCCATTGGAATGCCCATATATTGGGCTTTGTGGGGTGGAGCTACAGGCAGCACTTGCAGATAAAAATAATCATTTAATTTACAATCCACAGCATGGATTTGAACAAGGACAAGTGTGCACTGGATTCCCTGGTAGATTAGAAAAACATTTTTTTCTTATCTTCTGGTGATACTTCTCTTTTAAGAACATGTTCGTTTTCTATGTCTGAGTGGAAACAGGCATAGGAACCTGTGAAACACCTTTTGAATTGATGTGCCTGCCAAGCCTTCAGCTACTAAGACAAAAAAAATTAAGTTTTCTTTGTTTCTCTCAGGCCTTTGGTTCCAAGTCCAAACCCAGCTCTCACTTCTGCTAAAAGACTTCAACCTCTGAACCCTCCAAGTACAGGAACAAGCCCTCCTTGCAATGTGTGGGCATCGCCAGTTGTCAGAGGGGGGGGGGGGGCATTTGTCACCTTTTGCAGCCATCTGCAGCCTCTGGACTATGGGTTCTCTGTACCTCTTGGGACCAAACGAGTGTTTTGGTCTCTGCCTCTAACCCGCTTCATGCTTTAACATTTTCCAAGGAAATATCTCTCCACTGTTTGAATATGGAATGTGCTGTGCAAGTCTACATATATATTTCTTTTTTTTGGCAATTAAATTCTCTTTGCCCGTTCTGAAAGTTCCCATATAGGGCTCTCTGCCTCTCAAGTCCACCAATTCTAGGTGTATTAGACTTGTCATTATTTGAGCCTATAGTCTAAAGCAGGGTGTCAAACTCCATTTCATCGTGGGCCGTATAAGCATTATGGTTGCCTTCGAAGGGCTGGTTAGTAACTGTAAGCCTAGATGTCCAGAGCACCCCTCCCCACCCTTACATCAGATGTCAAGAATCCCACACCCTCCCTAACATCACTGTGCACCCCTTTTGGGGGCAGAGCTGGAAAACCGAAAGTGCAGGGTCTGGAGGAAGACCAGAGGATGAGTGAAGTCCGTTACCAGAGTCTGCTGAATGCTGAGACCAGGGGAGGCAGAGATGAGGAGGGGGTGCTGCAGCTGCACTGGGAGGTGCAGGATTTGGCAGAGGATTCTATTTTCCTCTCTGCTGCCGACTGCTGAGACTAGGTGTGGGCAGAGACAAGGGGGTACCTGCAGGAGAGGTTAAAGGGCCACATGAAATGGCCTGGAGGACTGGATTTGGCCCTCTGGCCTTGTGTTTGACACCTGTGGTCTAAAGGATAGTGTCTTATCCTTCCCTGCTAAGGCACACTCCACTAGTTCTGTGTGCATCTCATGGGTGTCTCGACATCAGGCGTCCGTTTCCCAGATTAGCAAGACTGCCATCTGGTCTGCTAGTCACACTTTTAGACTGACACTAAAAGATATGTTTACTCCAAATATAATGTTTACATTTCACTCCTTAATGGCCCTGTAATCTATTTTTCATTAAATCTGACTGGGTTTTTCTGCTTCCTTGTAAAATTTCCTTGAGTTTCTGAACATCTCCTTCTCCCTCTTACTTCCATTTGTTTGGAACAGATACTACGCCTTCTTTGTGGTTATGTGCACTACTCTAAGCATGATACAAATTCCATAGTACCTATTTCATCTCGGGTGCAAGCAAATGAGGGTTGCTACATTCCTAGATATGGTGGGACATTTGAGAATGAACTTAGCCACCCTCTAACAGAATGTTGAATCTATGCCACCAATAATAATAAAAGAAAAAAAAAAAAAAAGTTCTATCTCCATTGAGACATTCTCTATAGCTATCCTGTTCTATGTTGATCTCAGACACTCACTAACCATGTCACTTGTGAAAATGAGGAGACCTTAAAATTTTCTCATGGACAGTACGCAAATCTGTGGCCTCTCGGCAGCTGGCCCTTGATGCCGAGTGGCCGCATATTTGCATACCATGTGTAAACAAACGTGCTGAGAGTGCGCACTCCCAGCACATGTCGGCATCCCATGGAAAGGTCCCTTTCTCTCCTTGCGATTGTTACCTTTCCAATCGTGTGACTGCTGTGACAGCCAGTCACGGCGGTCACATGACCCTAAACCCTGCCAGCGTCTGAAACCCCTTAAAGGGCCAGGAGGCGCCAGCGTGAAGGGGTTAAGAGGACATTCACTAAACCCAAAAAAGACAGCATACTCCTTTGTCCAAGCCTCTATAGCGAACGCCTACCAAGAAAGTTGTATAAAGTCCCACACCTTTTACATAAAATTGACCCCCATATACCATCTCTATGCTGTAGATGCCACCAAAGCGGAGGGTTATTTACTCCACATATTTTGGGAATGTCCTTCCTTACAGAATTTTTGGACATGGGTGTGTCTTTTGCGGGAGATCCAGCAGCATGCCTATTGCACGTTACCCCCAATGTTGAAACGCTACAAAAACTCTCTTCTCAAACACCTTCTCGGTGCTGCTAATGCTTGCATATCAGTCACGTGGAAGAATTATTCTCCACCTACTATTGAGCAATGGCTAGACCAGCCTTTTTCAACTGGGTCGGGTGCAGCATCTTGGGGTGTCATCTGAGGTCATCGGGGGGGTACTGTGGCATATTGGTTAAAATTCAAAGATCAGCCTAAGCTCCTGCTGCTCCGCCGGACTGTTAATTGTCACAAGGAGAGCTCGGTAAGCATAGTGAATTGCAGAACAGGGCAGGGGAGGCGTCTTCCTGAGTCTCGAGCTCTCCCTACAGGGTGGTACTGTGAAGTACAGTGTTGATAAAAGTACAGTACTGCAAATTTTGTAAAACGGCTGTGTGTGTGTACTGTATGTTACTTTTAACCTTAACCCCTAATTCCATACAATCAGAACAGCCACCCCCCAAAAAGCGACCCATGGATCATTTTAAAGAGGCATTTGACAGGCAGTGAAGTGTCAATTTGTCACCTCACCACCACCTGTTTTAAAGGATAAGTTCTCCTTTGGAACATGTTGCATGTTCCACCTATTTTTAGGGTGTAACATGTTCCCATAGCCACAGCCGTGCCCGCTACCCCCCCCCCCCCTCCCTCTGACAGATAGTATGGGGAGAAGTCTCCCCGTACTATCTGTCAAATTTGAAAACAGCATGGCCATGCAGGGCTCCACCTACACGGCCACATCACTCATTCACAGAGGTTCTGTGAATGAGTGCCTACAAGTCACGGCAGCTTTAGTGGCTGTCGGCTTGTTCAATGAACTACTACGGTGCTGTGGAGCGCCTTGGTAGTTAATTCAAGCTTGCTGTCAGAATATCTACTCGCTCGTACATCCCGTACGGCAAGCAGATATTCTGACAGGCCTGCAGGAGACCTGCATGGCATCAGCGATCTACTGATCGATGGTGTAATGCTTTACATGCTCCTTTGGACAAAAGTAATAAATGCTAATTTTTTTTACCTGCAAAAAAAATTTACATTTATTACTTTTGTCCAAAAGGTCAACTTATCCTTCAACCCCCTAAATGCAGCACTACCATGCCGCAACCATTTGCAATTCATGTAGTTGCAGGGAGACCTCATTCACCTGGGGGTATACTTCTTGACCCTGCCACATCATGTGTACGACCGTGGCTGCTGCCTCTGCATCCAAATAGGGAGCAGTTGGGGGTTGTAAATACGCAGCTAAATAGCTTGGTTTACAGCCTCCGCCCAACCTCCATGTGTGAAAAAGCCTTTGGTTCACATTTGTATGGCTGTGTGCTGCTTGTAGGGCATTCATTTGAGTGGGCTGCACTACCCACTGAAATACAGGGAAAGAAGTCCCCAATATTTAATTTTTTTTTTTTTTTAATTGTGCTCCACAGATTTGCCACACACTAAAACCTGCCACGTTTGCCAATGCATGGGGGTACCATAAGAATTATTGTGATTGATGCGCGTCTGCTAAAAATCAGCACACAGTAATGTGAACCAAGGCTTAGACTGGGGTGCCTCAAGACTGAAAAATATGTTAAGAGCACTCAAATGGAAAAAGGTAGAAAAACAAGTACCAGTATCTGACATACAGTTGATGGAGCAGTTAACGGCTGTCCTGAGAAATCAAATGGAAAAATCCTTTAAGATCTGGACCCCTTGGTCCATCCACAGAGACTTCTGAGACCGTGTGAATCAGCTGCATAAAATGACCCTCTGGGCAGTGGGCTGTGGGAGCTGTCCCCCTCTCAAACACCCCACCCAGCCATCCCCCGTTCCTATTCCCGTTCCCTACCATTATCCCCCTCCCCCCATTTTTTTTGTCTGCCGGGCTTTCTTTCAGTCTTTATTTCCTTTCCCTACTTTTTGTCCCACACTCACCTTTAATTTTGCCACTATTTTTCACAGCCCCTTTGGTATGTTTCTCTTCCCCTCCTGGA